TGATGACCGCGTCAAATACAACATCTATCTATATATATATAACTCAAAGGTGACTGATTGGCTGACATAGTGATCTATCAACGCAAAGCCCAAACCACTGGACGGATCGACCTGCAATTTGGCATGCAACTACATGTTATGACGTAGGCATCCGATAAGAAAGGATTTTGATTAATTCTACCCCCAAGGGGATAAAATAGGGGTTGAAAGTTTGTATGAAACTTTGTCAATTTTAAACCGATCGGGCTGAGACTTTGCATGCATAAAGTTACTATGACGTAGGCATCCCCATAGAAAAGATTTTGATAAATTCCACCCCTAAGGGGATAAATTAACGCGAGCGAAGCCACGGAAAGCAAAAGCTAGTCTACCTATATAATAGTACAGGGTTAGTCATAAGGTAAATCAAGTTGAAAGCCAGTAAATTGCTGTACTATCTTGTATTTAATTGTACTTGTAATTTAGTAGGTATAAAATATGCAAAATTATTTCGAGTTTCTACTTTGTTTTTGACGCATGGCCACCCTTAACGGCTAACCTTTGAAACATGGCTACCCTCAAAGGCTAGCTTGTAGTTATGCCTAATTTCTCGAAAAACCTAATCTTTTTACCTATACCTATGAATTAGACATATTTTTATGGGACATTGTTATGTTAGCTTCAACCAGATTAGATAATAACCTTATCATTCTTATTCCATCATGTTTAAAAGAGGATGGTCAACACTGCGATGTAATTATGTACACACCTTTGTTTATTTTTTTTTTTGCTTACATTCAGTAATGCGCATGAATCTAGTGTAAGAGTATTGGACACGTTGCGTCAGACGAGAACGCTACGACCGGACGAATATGCGACGCGGCAAACATGCAGTGTTGCCAGCAAAATTTAAGCAAGCCCACTAGGTAAAGTGGTAGGGGCACGCCTCTGAATTTACTGGTTAAAAGTGAGACAGGTTCCTTAGTTAGCTAAATTCAGATTAGCTTCAAAAGAAAAGACGTAGTACAAAGAATTATAAAAACAATAATAATATATAATAATAATAATCTCAGGACAATTCACAAAGCGCCATCTGGACCCAAATTAAGCTAGCTAAAGCTTGTGTTACGGGTACTAGATAACTGATACAAGTACATAGATTTTTTTTTTCGTAAATACATACATATTATACATAGAAAACACCCAGACTGATACAAACAATCATAGTCATGAATACAAATGTTTATACCGTGCGAGGAATTGAACCAGTGACCATCGGAAGTAAACCAGTGTGCTAAACCGCTAGACCACAGAAGCCCCGCCTATGTGACCATTCTATTCGCCAACAGGTAACAATCGCTCTTACAACTATAATTCACGAACGAGGGGACGAGCATTGTTAGTAATGTGGACTAATGACCTAATTGCTAGCGATGTGCCATATCAGGTTGATCTACCCGCGATTCTCCCTGGAAACCATCATGGTAAATTCCCTGTGATTTTGTCACGATCGGCTACCTGACCTGACCTTATGCTCTTATCATCCTCCACTGATGCTCCGCCAGCGTAAACCTTTCCATTATCATCCATTAAAAAAACAATTCACAAACAACCAGTCTACGTGCACGTCTCCACGAAGATAAACGTAACGGCAATGACGGTAGCATGGAGGTTGTCCGGATGTACTTTATTAGATAAATTAACTTTTTTCTACTTGGAGAAAATTCTCATGAAGACCCGTCTGGCCCCGGACTCTTACCCACTAAAACTCCAGAATATCCCTCGTTCAACGCCATATTGTGGAGTCGCGGGATCGTTACTACCTAAAACCATGTATGTAATACCCACAGTCATATACACTTATAATGATCAGGAAGTAAACAGGAACGAACATGTACTTCTAAACCGACGTCATACAAGACATAATAACAGAAAAACATCTTTCTAGTTATTATTTAATTGAGATAAAATATACAATTGTTATCACTTCCGATTTTTCGACAGTAGTGGGAACAAAAACCTATGGCCTGTGAACAATGACTCTTACAAACATTATACGAGCAGCCTAATACAAGTTATGTGTATGAATTAATATAACATTAAAAAAATTGTTGTAAATTATGTTATTTGAAACTAATTATGTTTATTATCTATATTAGCTGAACCTCGCAACCTCGTCTGTATTACACTTACTTGACATAAATTTACATTTCGCCCAATTTACATAAAATCTTTTTAAGTTATAGCCCATGTGTTATTTTGAAGTGTAAGCTATATTACTGTAAAAATCATCAATTTAAAAATCCGTTCTACTGAACGTAGAACGGATTTTTAAATTGATGATTTTTATTAAGTACTGGTAGTAATAGTTTTTGCGTGAAACACTAACAAACAACCATCCATGCTACTGCAACTATCTCACTATATACTCACAAACTTTTGCCTTTATAACATTAGTAAGACTACTCTAATATCTATTTTTAACGGTTAAGTAATCACTAACATTACTAATAATTATGTAATAATGTCTGGTAAATTATTTTTAAATTGTAAACATTTTTTTTTATTTCTAAATACATTAATAATCCGTTTTTGATGCTATTAGAAACATTAACCCACTAAAAGTCGCCAAATCCTCCAGTTCTATTGGTAAATTCACCAAGGTGGCAACACTATTACACCTGCTTCGCTGCGCCGCGTGACCGTGAAACGTTACAAGATTGGCGGCAAAATGCGTCCACGCAGAATTGTACGCAAAAAGGGCGGGAAACAAAATGCGTCCACGCATCAAAAACGGCGGGAAACTACTTTTGTTAGGGTTTCGAACGAAATGAGAAAACGGAAATCTTATACTAATCATTACATAGTATCTATCCTATGTATGCTTAAATCTTTAAAAGTACGCAACGGATTTTGAAGCGATTTTTTTAATAGATACAGTGATTCTAGAGGAAGGTCTATATACATATATAATACATGCACACCCATGCGAAGCCGGGGCGAGTAGCTAGTATACCTATAAATTAATCTCTGTTGCAATGTTATATTTCAAAAACTGTTGCTATTTATATGGAATTAAGTATAGTTTTACATGATTATAATAGAGAAAAAAAATTATTACTTTCGCAAGAGGGTGCCAAACAGTCTTGCGTGTGCCTGGTCTAAATGTCAGAACAGTCTTCCACGTGTCTGATCTAAATTTCAGAACAGTCTTGCATGTGTCTGGTCTAAATTTCAGAATAGTCTTGCGTGTGCCTGGTCTAAAGTTCAGAACAGTCTTGCGTGTGTCTTGTCTATATTTCAGAACACTTTTGCATGTATCTGATCTATATTTCAGAACAGTCTTGCATGTGTCTGGTCTAAATTTCAGAACAGTCTTGCTACGTTAAATGGAAAATGTTGTAACTGTTCTCTGTTACAACATTTTCCATTTAACGTTTTAATGTAATGTTTTAAGGCAGGAAGGGCTTTGGATTGTTAATAATGGGATTTAGAGGTTCTTAATAAATACAATGTTCTAATTCTGATTTCGACTTAGTCTCCTTGGAAAGCATTGTAGTTAATAAAATTCAAAATATCTTTATTCAAGTAGGTCAGACAGACATCAGACACTATGATATGTAAAATCTACCGTCAGTTCGAAGTGCTTTCGAGCTGAGAAGAACTGACAAAAAACTCAGGTCGTGATGAAATGGCATCCGCCTGTGCTGATGTATAAATAGCCCAAAATTCAGGAATTATAACGAAAATAACTTTTTAATCTTTATTATATTATTTATACATCTATGATATTAGTGGGACATACTGACGTATATGATAATAAGAAAAACTTCAAAATGTAAATTATTAATTTTATTTAATTCAATATGGAAATCGTTTTATATATAAAATTGTAGGTACATACGTAGTTAAATAACAATTACGAGTATAATAACAACTAAAAAGTATTTTATTCATTTAAGAACACGTATAAATAACAAAATTCTTATTTATCAGATATATAGTATGTATAATACATAAATATGATTAAATGTTACTTAAATTTTAACGACATTTATTGTACCCACCACTTTTAAAGATTAAAAAAACATAATTGGTTTTATAGACAAGTTTAGGTACAAGGCAAATACCTACTCCTGAAAAATAGAGCCGAGCTGTCCTTTAACTAGTGTACCTCACAATATTTTGGCAATAATTATGGGCTATACACGTTAGGTGATGAAATATGTCATATAGATTACATATAATATTTAGGTATATAAAATTCAATAGTAACATTACATAATTCCACTATACTCAATACTCAGCTATTTGTAGATCGCATCGTGAAAAGGACAGCAACATTGTTTATATTGCTGTCGCAAACGCACCAGAAAGCATAACGTAAGGCGCTTGTACAGTTTCATCAGAATATCTGACCAAGTTGAGTAAACCTATGTTTACTAAGAGAATTCAAGTTGTTATAGGTCTAACCTGTATGGATATTAATGGGTGAACCCCATATTCCTCTTTTGAATTATCTACTGAAATCTAGTACGAATAAACTGTAGGTATTAGAAAATATGACCACCTGAAACTTATGCATTCCTAGTACCTACTTACTGTAATTTTATATAACCTCTGTTTTATTATAAAAAAAGTATCTGCATTTTTTTATTTATCCTATTGTATAAGGGTGAAATCTACTAAATATATATTGTCAAAATTTTACAGCTTAAATCAGAAAAACACAGACTATAAATTTCACACAGCTAGTAAAAATATCGGAAATTATCTAAATGACAGAAATTATAGTTTTTTTTTTAATTATTCGACGCTATGTTTCCAAACAAAATATACTGTTACAGAGTAATCATTGATTTCGTATAAGAAAAACATTATCCTTTTACGTTTTATTAATGTTCAATCCAAATCAATTGCGTTCAATTTTTTTCATGAATCAACCAAACTGCACTGTTATCTTTTGGCCGCATCCAAAACCATGCGCTCGGCCAGACATATAAGCTCGCGCGACGCTGCTTCCCGGCATTTCACGTCAAATCCTCGTCTCGTCAACTCGTCAATAACTCCCTTATCTATTTACTATTAAAATAACATTATAAAAATATTTGTGACCTGTGGTTGTGCTGTGACATTATTTTTTAAGTTTCATTTCTCCCGGAAATCAATAAATAAGGTATGTCTAAATAATTACTTTTACATTTTCAAAAAATTCGCTCCTTCATGTAGATAGTTGCTAAAAAAAAAAAAGAAATTCAGTTGAGCTTCATGTCAATTCTCAATTGAATCTGTATACTGAACTGGATGGAGGAAAAACTATTTGACATTTTAAGCGATTAAAATGTCCTACACATGTCCTGATAAATGATTATTTCTTAAATTAAAATTCATTAAGTCTGAAAAAAAATTACATTAACATTGATTTTTAATTACAACCATGCCTGTTCACATATGCCCCGTCGAATTAAAATGAGAATCCGGAAAAATGGTTTTTTTTACATCAGAAATGAAGAAACATTCATTATGTGTCTATAATTAACTCAAATACAATTAATTTTATAATAACCATTTCACTTTTAAAAACACGGACGATTCTTTTTGCGGATACCGCCATTGTCAATTATCGCGAGTAACTTTATCAATGAATGAGCGAAGGCAATTTCAATCAGCTCTCATTATTATTTGATTTTGAATTGTACAATTTGTACATCCAACCTCTTCATGATAACTTTGATCTTAATTTACATCAAACGTAATGAAAATATATAAAAACGTTTTTTTTATAAAATTTATGGCGTTGGTTTATAAGCTTGTTGACTTTCTGATAAATAAATAAAATAAGAAAACATATTTATTCAGTGCTTTTCGACAGTGTAACAATATAAAAACAAAAGCAAAATGAAATTATAAATTTCTTTAAATTTATAAAGAAGTAAATATTTATTATTAAAATGACTATACTTTTGGTTTAAAGTTATATTACACACTATAATGTCGAATATGAGATTGTAATCATACATAAGTTTACGTGAAAAATAACAAGAGAACGTTTCAGTTTTCCGTTTTTCGCACGGTTTTCCCTAAATCTAAGAAAATCTGTAGCGCTGCAGAAAACTGCGCAACAATCTATTTCGGTCCATACATAAAAGTCCGAGGAAAAAATTCGCAATTCTTATTTTAATTAATTTCATTGTTTACAAACTAACAGCAACTAAATGTATTTAAAAATGTGAAATGATCCTTATGTTGGCTGTGTGTATTCAGTCATGCTTTGAATTCTGAATTCTTACCTTGAACTTTAAAAGTCTTGAGGTTTTTAACTTTACAAATTTATATAAGATTAGGAGTGATTATTCTGAGGTGTTTATAATAAATATGAAATATTGTATTTAGAGACTCGCCAACAATTAATATTGAACCTTCAAAACAAAGTCGCTGTCGCTGTCTGTCCGTCGCTATGTGTGCTTAAATCTTGAAAACTACGCAACGGATTTTAAAGCGGGTTTTTATAATTTTTTTATTCATTGATGATAATGAAATGATGGCGGGGCATCTGTGGAGAATGATAAGATGAGCATGAAGTCAAGTCAGTTAGTTCTTGGCAAATGGCAATTTACCATAATGGTTTCCAGGGAGGACAGCGTGGAGGTCAAACTGACATGGTATATAGCCCTGCCCCCAAAAAACTTAATAGAGCATCATTATCAGTCGTATTTAAGTTTTATTAATTTAAAATACTAAGAATGGTATTTAAAAATATCTCTCTAAATAAGTTTAATTAAAACAATATGTATTAATCTACAAGTTGAACTTGCTACTACAAAAAATAATTAAGCGGTTTTAAGAACGACAAATACCTAATTGACGCCAATTATTCTGTTGAAAAAAAATCCTTATTAATCTGTTGAAAATGTTGTTATATCAGTCACTAATATAACATTTGCGCTAGCAATCAACTGACTAATGGATGTAACCTTGGAGTGGTGGTAACAGTGCGTGTGATACCACTTTCCAAGCAGACAGCGAGTCTCTAGTATCTACGTGATGAAATATTAATCGCCACTTAATCGATTTCTGAATCTCGATCAGTCACAAATGTGTTTAGACTTTCGATCGTTTTATATTAACAACCAGCTTCACACGGGTGTACCTTTATTATACACTAGCTGTAGCCTGCGACTTCGTTTGGGTGGGGTAACTGGAACCTTTTACGCACAGCACGGAACGGAAGCCCTCAAATATGAATTTTCCCCGTTTTTGCAACAATTTTCACTGATGCTTCACTTCTATTGGTCGCAGCGTAATGTTATATAGCTTAAAGTCTTCCTCGATAAATGGCCTATCCAGCACAAAAATAATTTTTCAATTCGAACCAGTAGTTCCTGAGATAAGCGCATACAAACAAACAAACTCTTCAGCTTTATAATATTAGTATATATAGACCTTCCTCTTGAATCACTTTACATACCTATTACTAAAAACTGCATTAAAATCCGTTGCGTAGTTTAAAAGATCTAAATGAACAAACAGCAGAGACGACTTTATTTTATACTACATATGTAAAGATAATAATATCTCAAGACAATTCACACAGCATCACCTAGCCCCAATACAAGCTAAGCAGAGCTTGTGTTATGGGTACTAGACAACTGATACAAATACATATATACATTTTTTATATAAATACATACATATTATCTTCCACGTTGCTATACCTAACAAGGTGCATATTAGATGTGTAAATTTGCTATTTGATAATTGTGCAATGCAACATAAATAAATAAATATACATATCATATATTAGTACGGTGGCCTAGAGGTTTAGAGGCTTACACTCTTCCGATAGTCGCGGGTTCTATTCTTTGCACGGTGCAAACATTGAGCAAACATACATTTGTATTGGTCGGTGTATTTATATATATATTACTATAATTACATATAATATGTATTTACAAAAGAAAATCATCATCATCATCATCATCGCAGCCCGGAAGACGTCCACTGCTGGACATAGGCCTCCTCCAAAGATCTCCAAAAGAAGATATTTTCAAGTATTTCTTCTAGTACCCATAACAGAAGCTCTTATATTGGGACTGGATGGCATCTTATGAATCATTGTTATAAATGTTAAAATTCAAATTCAAAAATCATTTATTCATGTAGGACATTTTAGCCGCATATGAACGTCAAGTTTTTACATTATAATTTTTTTCTCTACCGTCCAGTTCGGTATATAGATCCAATTGAGAAGAACTGGCAAGAAACTCAATTGAATTACTTTTTTTTTAAAAGCCAGTTTATATACAATGCACAGGTATTTATATAGGTGTCTATGTCTAACATTATTATAACATAATTGATTTACGTGGATTGTTATTATAAAAAATATATAATATTAGACAGAATCCAAGCACTTTGGATTCATCAACTGACCTCTCAATTAAGTTATTGTTACCCAGTTACATAGGTACATACGTTCTGACAAACATGCCTTCTTGTCTGATAATAGTTACTAAGTTTAATAAACCGTTATCTTGTACTTACCTAACATTTTTATATTACAAGTTACTGGTCGCACACTTACTTCACCCGGGTTGAACTTACATTATAAGTTTACAATAATAGGGGTTGAAGTATGAAATTGTTTTATAGTATTAGATACTTTGAATTGATATAAAACCTTCATGGTGTGATGTCTTCGAGTGAAGCTTTTTTCAAAGTATATATATGAGATTCTTGTTTTAAAAAATATGCAACATTCAATTGTCTTTCAGTTGTTTTTCTTTTATTCAGGCATCTGTATGATTAATAATTAAGAATCTAGTCATTTTTTACAATTGACTTTGTGTGCGTTTAATAAACTTAGTTCTAATTTTGATTTTACCAAGATTCTCATAATGATTCTAATATTCATAATATTCAAATTTTTAGATGCCTAAATTTGATTTTAACAATGAATCTGTTTCATTTATTGACACCTGTGCGTTTAAGAATTCTGATTCTAAATTTGATTTTAACAATGACACCTGTGCGTTTAAGAATTCTGATTCTAAATTTGATTTTAACAATGACACCTGTGCATTTCATAATTTAAATTCTAAATTTGATTTTAACAATGACACCTGTACGTTTAATAATTTCAATGACAATTCAAATTCTTCTAAATTTGATTTTAACAATGACATCTGTGCATTTCATAATTTAAATTCTAAATTTGCTTTTATCAATGACACCTGTACGTTTAATAATTATAATTCTGATTTTAATTCTAGCAATGGCTCGTGTGTGCATAATCGGAGCGGGCGCTGCTGGTCTCTGCGCCGCCCGTCACATCCTCGTGGAGTCTTGCGTCTCCCAAGTGGACGTCCTGGAGCAGGCTGGCCAGCTCGGAGGCACTTGGGTGTACACAGAAAATGTTGGCTACGATGACTTCGGTCTACCTATACATACCAGCATGTACAAAAGCCTCAGGTAAGATTAGTATGATATAATCTTCTTATAACGGATTGGTAGTAATGGAGAAACAATGTACCATATCAAGGCGTCTTCCAAGATCCTCTATAGAAGTTATTAGTTAATTCCGAATGAATTGGTCGATGGGCTAACTGACCTATCTCGTCATCATTCTATCAATTCCGGTAATGCTAGTGGGTGCACCATTTGAACAACTTTAAAAAATACAAATCGGCATTTTCTGATTATACTGATATCGTATGATGTTGTCTTATTATCTGTGTATGTAAATATAGATAATTTAAGATTCATCTGTATAATTATTATCTCCGATCAATAATCGTCAAGTCCTATATAATTACGATCAATAATTGTTAGACTTTAAAGGAAAACCATATTTTCCCAGTTACATATTCTACTAATTAGAGGAAAACGTCGTATCTATCCTCCTAACGACTATAAAATCTTAAAAAAAGATCTGTATATTTGTCCTTTATATGTCCTAAACCATTCATGCAATTTCAATGAAATTTTGGCATCTTATTCAGAACATGAAGTTTCCAGTTTTTTTTTACTTTGATATATTTATTATCAGACAAAAATCAACTACCCTATTATAAAAAGACTATTTCCTACATTACAAATTTGTATATTTGTTCTTATTTTGTTTGGTTTGTATGGTATCTATAAATGATATATTTCATCGCCTCTTAACGCCTATAACTGACCTTAGAAATAAGCTTCTAATTGTTTAATTATAATTCAAACTAAGTCGTGAATCCTTCTACATTTTTGTAGCATCACTACTATCTTTATGATGTTATTAAATGTTGTTCTGTATCATTCATATCATCATAGTCACACTCGCCACACGCCGAACCCATTTTTAGTAAAAACTATTGGCTAAGTTACTTACTACTGTTACTCCGTACTACACGTCGTATTGATACAAGGGTCGAAGGCTATCAGAGCAACATCAGTCGTTAGGAAAACGTCTACTATTACATACGTTCTAGAAACGCTTGTTTTGTACCCACTTATTATGTATGATGCCCTGGTAACGCGATAAGAGATACAAAACAATTTTGGTGCACGTTTATAAAAAACAACAATTGAAAATGTAACTCGCTAAGCTAAATCGAATCGATAGGGCTGGGCTAGTGCCCTGTAGTACAGACGTTCAATGAAATTGACCGATTAATCGATCACATGGTTCAAGGTAATCGATGTAAACTCTATAACGATATTATGAGTAATTTATTACCGACTTGTCATACGATTATTGTAATCAACAACAGAGAAGCATGACAAACAACAAAAGGTCAGTCAAGAATCTGAATAGGCACCTTATGAACTCTAGATAATATTTGATACCTACTAACATTTGCCGAAATTGGATTATTAGGTATTTTCTTAATGAATAATTATATTGCAACAAGTGATAGCAATTCATTATTAAAAAAAACATTGTATTATCTGCTCTGTCACTACCTACATAGTAGTGCCTTTTCTTTGTCTCAAATACGTTAAATTCATATGACTTACCGAGATATCTTATATATAAAATTCTCGTGTCATAGTGTTCGTTCCCATACTCCTCCGAAACGGCTTGACCGATTCTCTTGAAATTTTGTGAGCGTATTGAGTAGGCCAACATCTATTTTTCATCCCCCTAAATGTTAGGGGTCCACCCTAAATTTTTTTTTTATTTTTTAGACAAATTTTTAGTTTCTATTTTTTTATGATACAACATACAAACCTAAATTTTCACCCTTCTATCATCAACCCCTATTTTTTTATAGCGTTATTAATTTATATGGCAAAACAACGTTTGCCGGGACAGCTAGTTATACTATATATTATATTCATATGTTCGTTATTATATGTATGTAATAGTAGTAACGTATTTACCGCGTGATATAGTATACACTTCATTATATAAACTGTATGTTTAGTAAGCGGATGATTTCTTCACTTTTGTCTTAATTGATTCAGATGACATTGAGAAATAGATACTAATAGCATCTTGTTATGTAGGTGAAGGTCGTTTGCCCAACAGTGGGAAACAACTAGGACTTATAAGTAATAGTTGATAGCGAACTTTGTGGTTAAGAATTTTATGATTTACTTAAGTATTTAAGTCGTACTTATAATCCTTCAGTCATATTTAAAGTAGTACTTAATTTGCAAAATTTATAATAGTAATAATAATAATAACCTGTATAATTCACACAGCGCCGTCTAGTCCTAAGTTAAGTACCTAGAGCTAGACAAATGATGTATGGATATATATTTTGGAAAATTCATAGATAATGTCTAATTAGAAAGAACACCCAGATCGATGAAATATATGATTATTAGTAGTACAATTTTTTTATTGTCCCAGTAGTAGAATCGTATATATATATAGGCCTAAACCTAGAGTAAAATTTATTAAATCCTGATTATCACCAAATTCATTATTTAATTTCCAGAACCAACCTTCCAAAGGAGATCATGGGTTTTCCAGATTTCCCCGTTCCGGAGAGCGAAAAGTCGTACCTCCCCGCTAAAGACATGCTCGCATTCCTGCAACTTTACGCCGACAAGCATGGAGTGACGCCACACATCAAGGTGAGCATAAAAAATAAAAAAAAAATAAAAAACCTTTTATTTCCTAAAAAAATAAAAAAAAAAAGTCTTTTATTTCCTAAAATGACAAGAATATTACATGCACTTACTAACTATTTATAAACATATCATGTTATTGATCTTTTTACATATCCTATTTGTTATTTATTATATTATATTATTATTTTTATTATATTATTTTATCTACATTCAATATATTATTATTAGCATGCAATAACAACAAACATAAGGTGAGCATATGCACCATAAATTGAATAAATTATATCACCAATGAATATATTAACTAGGAAAATTACTCGAGTATAAGATCTATTAACCTTGGTCACTTCCGTGTCTGAGCTGCAGAACTGAATTGTCTGAATTCCGAGGTCGGACACTCACCGCCGCGCGCCGTGCTTATAGGATTATTTAGTGAAGAATCATTCGTATAATCGTACCTTTACCACAGATTATATACATAATAGAAAACAAATTCGCCGATGCTTTCTGTTCGCTTATATCTTTTAAACTATACAACGGATTTTAATGAGGTTCTCAGCAATAGATAGAGTGATTCAAGACAAAGGTTGTTACATGCATGTTGTAGTCCAGAAAAGCAGAGAATTTAAAAATTGTAATGCATTCGTGCGAACCCAGGGCGGGTCTGTAGTATAAAAGCAAAACTGAGTTTATTTTTATTAACCTTATATTTTTGTTATCACAAATCTATATCAAAGCGTTTAGTTTATATTTATAAAAGTCTATAGGTGTTTATATATGGGAAAGTGAAAGACGCAAGTAATGTTTGTCACGCTCTGTGAAGACATAAGTAATTATCATGAAATTTGACATATACCCTTTTGGAACGGAGAATATAGGCTACATTTAAAACTGGTTAACCAATTTCTCATAAATATTGTTGATATGAAAAAGAAAAAAGAAATAAATCGTATTTTCATTTAATACCAATCTGCCAAGTGCACGCAATGTACCTTGAAGGCATAGATTTATAAAAACTTTAAAATTATTTTCCAGTTCAAACACCATGTTCAACAAGTGATGCCGAAAATGGGTCCAAAAGGTGAACTCTGGGAAGTAACCTACAAGAATATGATCACATTAGAATCGACGACCAAGGAATATGATTACGTGGTCATCTGTAATGGACACTACAATACTCCATTCATTCCTAGTATACCAGGGCTCAAGAAATTCGAAGGTATGTAAATTATGAAGTACGCTATACGCTAACTATCAGGGCAATATAAAAGTACAAGAAATCGTCAAAAAATGTCTTAACGACACGTACTTACTGTCCAGCAAGGTGATTCTTGTTTAAAGCCAAATCAAATTTTCCCTAGTCTTATATAACCCTGGTAATCGCAAAATGGCAAAATTTTTGACCACATTAGGCAATGCCTTGTATGACACCTTGATAACACAACTTTTATGTCTTTACAAATTAAAAGCCAATTAAAATTTCTTCCAGGTGACGTCATGCACAGCCACGATTACCGAGTACCAGAAATATTCACCGGCAAGAAGGTACTAGTGATCGGCGCTGGACCTTCCGGCATGGATATCGCTCTGGAGGTCACCAGCGTATCCCCACGGATCATCCTCAGTCATCACCTCAAAGAACAGCCCCGTACCGTCTTCCCAGACAATCTAGTCCAGAAGCCTGATGTAATAAAACTGGAAGGACGCAAAGCATTCTTCCAAGATGGAACTGTTGAGGAGATTGACGTAGTCTTCCTTTGTACTGGTAAGTTACTATTCTGTAAAATACTGAAAAACGTTTGAGATGCTGATTTAAGATTTCTTTAGAATAGAATAGAAAATCATTTATTCAAATAAACTTACATTGAAGCACTTTTGAATAGTCATCACATTTTTTTTAATCTACCGCTCATTCGGAAAGCTGTCTCATTGTGATGAACGAGAAAGAAACTTGTGTGTTACTCTTTTAAATAATTTTATTCTTACTTTAAAATTTAAGTTTAAGTGTGTGAATACAAACTACCGATTAGCACTAATTCAATGAAATAATAAAATAGAAAAAAAAATTGAATTTTATGCTTAGGCTATTAATATTATGTATGTAAAAAGAATGTAAATTATACAATACACAACAGCATCGACAGTGATCATCCCGCTGGAATCTAAGTGATCTCAGACAATGCGGTTTCAGAAACAAACAATATTAATCTATTCTCAATTTGACTATAAACTTTAACAATAAACAAAAGAGTATGTATGCCATTGTATGCGTAAATACATGGTCGTCTGTGTTATGTTTTTTTTACTGATTTAATGTATTTTTAATATTCGCATTCTGCACTCCTCTTGTGTGCAAAATTTCATACTTCACCTTTTGCGTAATCTAAATATGTATATATAACTCAAAGGTGACTGACGTAGTGATCTATCAACGCACAGCCCAAACCACTGGACGGATCAGGCTAAAATTTGGCATGCAGGTAGATGTTATGACGCAGGCATCCGCTAAGAAAGGATTTTGATTAATTCTACCCCCAAAGGGATAAAATAGGGGATGACAGTTTTGTATGACACTTTGTCAATTTTTAACCGATCGGGCTGAAACTTTGCATGCATAAAGCTACTATGACGTAGGCATCCCCTAAGAAAGGATTTTGATAAATTCCACCCCTAAGGGGATAAATTAACGCGAGCGAAGCCGCGGGCAAAAGTTAGTTTTCGTATAAAGGTGTACAAAATTTTTGCTTCACGTATTTAAAATTATGATAATGTGGTTATTTGTCACCAGGCTACTTATACAATTTCCCGTTCCTCCACGAGTCATGCGGCATCGTTGTAGAGGACAACTGCGTTGAACCGCTGTACAAACACCTGGTCAACATCAACCATCCCAGCATGTGCTTCATCGGCGTTCCTTACTACGTCTGCGCTTTCTCCATGTTTGATTTACAGGTATTTATTATGACACAATTACAGCTCTGATAATTCTGTAATATTTTAAATAATAATTTTTGAGGGTAGGTAGTATTGTTGACGTAGTGTTCTTAGAGTTCGAATCTCGGCTCTAACCGTCATAATTTCGATCCATTTTGCATTGACGAGGTATCGATTGGAGTGGCGGTAAAGCTAAACACTTCTGATGAAAGTGGATGAACCGCTGCACAGGAGTTATGTATATAACTAGCTGTGCCCGCGTTTTCATTTGCGTGAGATTTATAGCCCATATGTTATTCTGATATATAAGCTATATTATTGTAAACTTTCATCAAAATCCATTCAGTCATTTTTGCGTGAAAGAGTAACAAACATTCATCCATACTCACAAACTTTCGCGTTTATAATATGGTGTTTCAGGCGTTCATAGACTACCGTAGCCTAGTAGCAGCATAGTAGCATTTCAGAGATTAGCCGGAACAAACAGACCGACAGACAGACAGACAAAAATTATAAAAAATGGTTTTTTGGTGTATGTACCGTATTTATATTCATATGCATGTAGTAAAAAACGGTTATTTCAATATTACAAACAGACACTTCAATTTTATTTATATGTATAGATGATTGTTTGTATCGATCTATATGTTTTTTATGTATATTACGTGTGTATTTACAAAAATAAAATATATCAGTTATCCAGTATCCATAACACAACACCAGGCACCAGGGGTGCTTCAGGCGTCCATAGGCTACGGTAACCATTTACCATCAGATGGGCCGTATGCTAGATTGCCACCATAGTAGTATAAAAAAAATATATATTAATAAGACTTACCATTCCTTATACTACAAATTATCTTAAAAAAACAAGTGAGCAGTTATCTATTTTATATTGGGATTCCAAATGTTTAAGGAAAATCATACACGTGTCTCTATCTTGGTAGAAGATCATGAAGTCAAAGTGTTATGTCATATTTTAGGTTATCAAATAATGAGTTGATAAGTGTGTATCTGAATTTATGAATTACCAAAAAGCATTCGTTTCAAATCAATGTAGTTTTACTTAACTGTGTTAGAAATCATAATCTATACACTTAAATAAAATTGGAGTGTCTAATTGTAATATTGAAATAACCGTATTTTACTACATGCAATGAATAATTACGGTACATACACCAAAATAATATTTTTTACAATTTTTGTGTCCGTTTGTTCCGGCTAATCTCTGAAATGGCTGGACCAATTTTGACGGGACTTTTTTTGGAAGTTAGCTGATGTAATAAGGAGTAAATTAGGCTACTTTTATTTTAGAAAAATAAAGTTAAAATCCACGCGGACGAAGTCGCGGGTACAGCTAGTCAATTTCATATTTATAACTCCATTCACACCAAGCTTTACTTCATGAGTGAAGATTGTACTACCTTATCAATCCCATGTAGAAGTTTATGTCTGTCTGTTCGTTCTTGTTAATCTATTAAATGGCTGGTCTGATTTTGATGGGAATTTCACAGACAGCTAATGTTATGAGGAGGCTACTTTTTTATTGTTATTTATTTTAATAAAAAAGTTTAATTCCACTCGCACTTGGGTGACAGCTAGTAATATATAAAAAAAATAGAGCAGGAAAATATGTGTGTATACTGGGTATATGTTTGTACAAATATATATATAATAATAATATCTCAGGACAACTCATACATGATAGAAATATGTACATAGACAGCACCCAGACTGACACAAACAATCTTGCTCATGGATATAAATGTTTGTACCGTGCAAGGAATCGAACCCTCGTCCATCGGAAGTAAGGCAGTGAGAAAGGCTAAACTGCTAGACCACCGAGACAGTCATATGGATAAAGATTATAAAGTTATATCTTGAATCAGGTACGATACTACGTACGTTCAATGAACGGCACCTTCAGTCTACCAACGAGGGAGCAGATGGTGGAACACTGGGAGGAAGAGAAGAAAAACAGGGCCGCCAGGGGATACACCAAACGGCAAGCGCACATGATGGGGCCAGATCAGGTAAGAAAACTTTAACACACAACAATACTACAATTAGTAATGAAGGGTCGAAGGGTTTGGCTATGAAGCCTGGCTTCAAAGGCTTGCTGACAAGAGACCGAAGCGCCATCTAGGCGGCTCAGTGCAGACTATTGTTATAATTTCCTGGTAGCCTGTGGTAGGCCATGCCGCTCTCGTATCGGTTTAAACAACCACGAAAAGAGCTGTTCACGGACCATTTCGCCATAAATGGTCTATATACAGACATATATAGATATATACAGATGCATAAGCGATTACATATTTCTTGAAGGTTTCAATATTTTATCCATTCACGCCAGATTCCAGAGAAAACCGGATACCATTTACTACTTTAGCATTAATAAAACTTGCACAAAGTCCTCTACATAGATACGTCTGTCTCATCAGTTGTCATATTGAACGCTTTGCTTTATAATAGAAGCCTTCACTTTCCTGATAAAAGAACAAAGTAAATAAATCAATCGATATATTATAATGTCATAAATATTACTACAGATCAGTAACTGTAGAACCTTGAACCTTTTACGTCATAAAACATGTTTACACGGATATTAATTATATCAACAAGTTTAATAAACCAATAACTATTTGCAAGGCAATCTTATAATATAAATACATAATATTATCAATTTATTACATTAATTTCTGATGATAATTATTAGTCACTGCTTCTTCTATATTGTTGAGTGCAATGATGGCTGGCTCATCCGTCATACTCGTGAACTGCTGCTTTGGGACTGGTTTGTTTGGGTCCAATGATTATATTATATTCTTTTGACAAAAATTCGATAGCATATGCTGGTCACAGTATTCTCGATAATTGAATTTAAAAATGAATCTGTTTTTACAATCATGTAAGTTTATTGGAAAAGAATTAAAGTTTAGTTTCTTGTCCGTTCTTTTTGACACTACTAACTAACGGTAGAATTGACATGTCCTAAGAGTCCTTGATTCTCATCCTTAATGTCTCAATGAACTTTCTTGTTTTGCTGAAAATTCATTTAAAGGAAAACAAATCAAAAATAAAGACTACATTTCCAAGTAATTACTTAAAACAATGATTTATTATCAATCGATGGTCAAATCTGTTTCTAAAATAAATTACTTTATTACTAACATCACCCCATGAAGAATTTACAAAAATTTTGGGGTTCCATTATTTAGAAATTCAATTGTGCTCGTCCCAATTTAGCTAGATCGTCTTTCTACATTTTTGGCCATGCGTAAGTGCTCAGCGATCCCAGGCCCCAATTTCATGGTTTTCATTCTAATATCATTTTTGATACATTTCACGTGCAGAATTATCGTGTTAACGGAATATTTCTTGCATCAAAGCTATTAACATATTTATATATAAAAGCTGATATTTCGTATACATATGTCCTATTTTAAAAGCAATATTTATTTTGGGAAAAGTTGCATTCTGTTTTTAAGTTTTTATTTCAAAAACTAGTTTCGAATAAGGCACTGAAATTGCCTATTAAAATTATTAAATATGCAGTGTAACATGATGTATTTACAACATATTTTGAATAAGAATTTTGAGAAACTATTATACGTATGAGTGAATACGCAGTGTCTGTTTTACTGCTAGACTGTGATTTTCTGATTCTTTAAATGGTAGAAATCGATAGATTCGAGATGTATAAATAACTATCACAGTGTTTGTGTAAATATAACTCTTTAATGTAAGTCGCTAATTACAACTCCAGGCTAGCTACTACGTGTCTCTATCAGAAGAGAGTAAAGCTACAGCTCTTCCACCTGTCTTCACCAAGATCCACAACGACAGTAGTGATAAATTCATCCATAACTTGACGCATTACAGAAACGATGTGTACAGAATCATCGATAACCATAACTTCATTTGCAATTAGTAGTATCGCAGGGCATAATTTTGGGACCCCTATTATCAAATGTGTACGTTTATCTATTGTAATGGTCATTTTAGTTAATGTTTATGCTAATATAATCCTTATTACTCATTAATATAACGATTATATTTAATAATTTAAAATAATAATTAGAAATTAGCAACATAAAAGTATATATGCTTAATAAATAAAAGAATTCATTCTGTAAGAACTTAGTTCATATATTCCTGTATAATCATAACTATCATTTTATAATAATGTCCTTTTATTATTAATTAAACAATATCATGTGAAGTAAAAATTATTATTTGATACTTAATAAAACTACCAGCTCATATCAATGTAGTCTAACCCTTTTTTGCTCTGAATGAAATCTCAGGCGCACTGATAAAATAATTTACAAGTAGGTGGCAATCGTGAATCAGATGTGTTTGCCATCATAAAGAAAACTAGAACACCTAATTTAGACATAGGATAGGCCCGTCTGTCAAGCCTGTGCTTGACAGACGGGTCTATCCTATGTCTACACTTTTATTTTTTAAGATTTAGATTAAGCCCTTTTGTACCTAAAGTCTGTACTTTAGGTACAAAAGGGCTTAATCTACAAAAGGTGTCATCATATAGTTCAATCTATATACATTTCGTGAAGGTTATTAGTAGCAATGTCCATGTAAGGTCTTCCTCCACGAGTACCTCCCTGAAAATTGTAGAAAATTTCTGGTGAATTCATCACTAGCCCTGCTTTATGTGCATCGTAACTTACTCCATTAGTGCTCCTCTAGCGTATAGCGTTAGTACAAGTACATATGCGCACCGTTCTATATTCATCCGTTTAAAAGATGTCACAGCTTCATATACTTTGTGTGTCCATTTTGGATTAATATTAGATGCCGTCTGCTCTAATTTAATCTCACAAAATTTAGCTTTTGAGTTCCTAAACAAAAGTACCTCAATACTTTCCGTTTCTATATTATTCATATAAATCTCCGGTGAAACTCCAGCAGGATCCGTAAAGGCTTTATAAAATTCCGCTGCGTTGTTTAGACAGTTTAGTAGTTTAGTTGCTTTTACTATGTAATATTATGTTGTCTGTGGTATTACTTACATCTTTTTATGCACCTTGTACTTAACTTATAAAAGAAAATTCTCCTAAAGAGTCCCCTCGAACACGCCCTGTATCTCGTTAGAATAATTGTTTACCAATTCCAGTAAGTTCTTGTGAAATCAGTAACGAAATCTATTTATCAGTAACGAAATCTATTTATATACATAAATAGATTTCGTTACTGATAAATAGAGGTAATACTACCAACAGTCCAACATTGCTCACTTGCCATCTCTTTCTTTACTTTAAAGGATTCCATTATCAAAGTCTTGTAACTCATTGTTTGTGTTAATTTTATAGAACAATAAAATTATTTTCTATATTTAAGACAATTAAAACCAAATCTTTTAATATCTATTACTACCTATATAATAAATTATATGTAAATAAATTCTAAAATCATCACATTATTTCTGATATATATACACTATTTATTAATTCATTAATATTATAATAACATTTATACTCATTCTTAAATTTTAAAAATACTATTTACGTTTACTTCAAAAATTACAAATTGAAACGTTAATCGATTGATACACGATTAATTTGATTTATCTAGGATTTCAATTTTAGTTATTGAAAGAGTCATTTTAGAACTTTCTGAAATTGATTAATAATGCAGTAGTTTGTATCGAAATTAAGTACATAGGAAAATACTAAAATTGACAAAAGTTACAAACAATTAATTATTAATTTAGTAAATAAACCAGTAATACTAATATCACATATTATTAGATACATATAACTACACATATATTGTTTTTAATAATTACACAAATAAACAACAAATCTGTTCACGGGCCATTTATGTATATTTATTATATATATTTTACACAAATATTTTTTTAAACAATTAAATGCTTGGGAGAATTAAAACGACAATAATTAAAAACATTTATTTCATAAATCCATTAATTATTTTAATAATTACCCATTAATTATTTTATATCATTTACCAGGAGTCCATAAATAGTCAGAAGTAACAAATATACTCGTATTGTTCTTGGCGATTTCGTATAGTCCGCGACACAACGCGTCTCGATGAATGCGATCGGTAACTGGAAGTTGGCCATCGACTATATATATGTATAATGTATATATACTGACAGCGATCAACTATCGGGTTATCGGAATGCACTTGTACCCTTTATGTACAGTCGTCCACATTATTTCACAAAACAAATTATGTCATTCTTAATGTTACGTACACTAGCTGCGCCCGCGGTTTCATCCGCATATTTATAGCCTACTGGCTTTTACCCGTGGCTTCGTTTGCATAACGTCATTACTGGCTGCTAGATGGCGCTGAAGTAGCAAAATGATGATATTTCATTTTTTGTTTTTTATAAAAAAAAATGATTTTTTTAAATAATAAGTATCCTATATTCATTCTGATACCTCCAAGAACATGTGTAGAAAATTTTATGATGACCGGTTCAGTAGTTTTTGCCTGAAAGCGTAACAAACACCCCTATTTTCACATTTATAATATTAATAATAATTAATAATACTTAATGTTTGTTTATGTCTAATGTATAAGCTACGAGTATATTACTGTAAAGTTTCATCAAAATCCTTTCAGTAGTTTTTGCGTGAAATAGTAACAAACAAAGTAACTATGCCTAGATAGATGAATATCTATTATTTCATTGGAATAAGTAGGTATAATCTATACATGTAAATAAAATTGGAGTGTCTGTTTGTAATATTGAAATAACCGTTTTTTACTACATGCATATGAATATAAATACTATAATATAATATAAATAATAAATACACCAAAATAACATTTTTTAAAATTTTTGTCTGTCTGTCAGTTTATTCCGGCTTATCTCTGAAATGGCTGGACCTATTTTGATGGGACTTTTATTGGCCAGTAGCTGATGTAATAAAGAGTTACTTAGGCTACTTTTATTTGAGAAAAATAAAGTTAAATTCCACGCGGAATACCGGAATAATACAGCTAGTTACAAATATAAGAACTTAGTAATATTAGAGTAGATACCTATTATTATTTAGACACTTAGATTGTTTGTTACTGATTAGAGTAACTAAGTGAAGATAACGTTGTTGTTGTCAATTGGCCAAAGATATCGGGTTATATTTCATATTTAAGGAAATATAGAGTAACTATATGTTGCCAAAATAAGCTTGTATTCAATAATAATATCTCAAATCATTTCACACAGCGCCATCTAGTCCTAAGCTAAGTAAAACTTGGTTATGCGTGATATACAACTGATATACATACATAGATACATTTTTTTTTTTGTAAATACATGCATAATGTATATATAAAACCACCAGATCGATACAAACAATCATACTCATGAATAAATTTTTGTACTGTTCGAGGAATTGAACCCGCGACTATCGGAAGTAAGGCGGTGTGCTAAACCGCTAGACTACTGAGGCCGTCAAATATCGTATTCTGTTTACAAGTAACCGATGGAATGGAATCCCATCATTACAAAAGTTTACATATATTCATGTCCTGCCGACATTTATAGATGTTATACGTCCAGACAGATTTCTATGTGATTTTTCATACAATATCTAAGTATAGTTAACAAAAAAAAACATTTTTCGTATTGTTTCTTACGCTTAAGTTAAGTTAGTGTTGTGGCTGACTGTACGTAATTCCAATGCGCTCATTTAACAGTTAACATCCGATGTTATGATAAATATAATTCATAATTAGTCTTGGTTTACGTAATTCCACTCAACTTTCCAGCGCTGCAGCGCTCAAATGCAAGTTAAATAATATGCTAAATAGAATATTAGGGTTTACGTAATACCACCCAACTTTCCAGCGCTGCAGCGCTCAAATGCAAGTTAAATAATATGCTAAATAGAGGTTTAGGGTTTACGTAATTCCATCCAGCTTTCCAGCGCTGCAGCGCTCAAATGCAAGTTAAATATTATGCTAAATAGATTTTTAGGGTTTATGTAATTCCACTCAACTTTTCAGTCCAGCGATGGAATTAGCGCTGCAGCGCTTTAATGCTGTAGGTTATATATATAATATATAATGTAAAATAATGAAATAGGTAGAATTTATAAAAAGTCTGTCATACTTCTATCTCACATATTTTAGTCGCTAAACGGCTTGCTTTATAAGCTGAATTTCAGTTTAAGATATGGCACTGAAATTACAGCGTTTCACGTTATAAGGACTGTCTATAGATACGTGTGTGTGCAATGTATGATAAGACTATTTATACTTAAATTTTCTAAGTTCTAATTTCAATGAGTTTAATTTGTTTATATATAATGCTGAAATTACAGCGTTAGAGTAGTCCGAAAAAAAATATGATTGTGACATGAATTTGACAAAAAACCAATTTTTGGTTACAGGAAAAATACTACGCGTCACTGGCCGACGAGGCGAGCACTGCGAGCCTGCCGTCAGTGCTCACGAAAATCAGGGAAGAGAGCTCGATACGTTTCTTACACAACCTGAAGCACTACCGTCAAGACATCTACAAGATCATCGACGATGACACTTATGAGATTATAAGTAATGGAAAACGTGAAATTCTTTGTTGACCCTAAACGGTGTACTTAATGCTTGTAGTTTTAAGGTTAGGTTAGTTTTACCACAGAGTGCAAGATAAACAGAGTGTAAGCTCGAGCTTGAGCACTGGCTCAGTACGTTAAGTGTATTTATAAAATAATAAACAAAAATATTTTTAACATTACAAATTAATGGATATAAAAGTTTATATTGTTAATAGAATTCTTCTCCAGCGTCAGTGTTTCCGCCTAGAACAACATGATATTTTTCAAGGTTATTCATTAAAACACTTTTTGAACACAATGCATATCGTGAAGAACCGTTTAAAAACATCGTCAATTGCCATTGCAAGATTAACATTATATGAGCTATATCGACTTTTGAAATATTGATTTTTATATATCAGATATCCGAATTCGCACTGGCCGAGAGGCTTCCACTCTGTTTATATGTAATATTCAGTGGTCTTATTGTAAGCTAGTTTTTATGATCGACGAATATAATATTAAGAGTTCAATGTAAGATTATAATGATTTAATGTGCTTCCTTTTAATTAATTTATTATACATTTAAATATTAATTATTGTTTACATGTTTATAAAATATATTTTTCAAATAAAACACTCTATTCAGCCAAAAATATTTTATTTAAGCGTATTTATTTATAATCTTTATATTATCAATGCTGATATATTATTAATCTTTAAATCTAATATTTTTATGGCTTCCCCTTATAATGGTTTCAAGAAGGATAATTCAGTAAGCTTACAACAGAATCGCATCAATATCGGCACAACAATGTCACTTATGTATAATAGAGTGTAAGTTGTTACAACAAGACGAAATCCAGTATCACTACACCTCACGATAGTAAAATATTAGAATATTTTTAACTTTCTCATACAAATTATATGACATAATCTTTTTATAGAACAGCATTTGAATAGCAATAACTGTTAAAAATCATAGCTTATAGCAACACTATAATTCTCGTGGTACAGTTAATATTGGCATTTGTAGAGACAGTACTATCCGTAAACCGATTATAACTGTCAATAATAGCTCTTAATCTAAAACTATATAATATTGCGTAATACAGAGTATAAATTTATGCTTACAATCTGCACTGCAATCTCTTTATTGCACGTTTAAAAAAATACAACACGAAACATAATTAGTTAAACAAAATCATCAACAGTAAGAAAAATATTGATAAATGAGAGTGTAAATTTATACTTACAAAAAGTGCTAATTATTCAAATCATTCACAGTATGAAAAATATATTAAACATCTCCAGTCCATAGACAAAATGGCTGATATCAATTTTACTGATCTTAGTTATAACGTTTGAACGCAACAGTCACTACTCTTCAGAATGGGCACTGGTATCAACCAGTGCCCATTCTGACATATACACAGAGTGTATATGAGTATAACATATATACAGAGTGAAAACTTTGATAAGTTTTCACTCTGTATATATGTTATACTCTGTGGCGGAATACAGTTGTGAAAACACGATTCTTATAAGAAATCGTTAAGATACAGATTCCTATATAGAAAAAAATATATATTTTTATTTCCAGCGATATTCCTTAGAGAAAAAACCCTCTATCCTGAGATAAAAACCATCGCTCCTAAGAATATCCTACAATTCTTGTCCCTTACGGGTCTAGGTAGAGAACTTTAAAAGGGCGAGCACAATAGATCTATGCAGGTCGCAGTGTTACAGATTTTAACACCTGACAATAGCCCAAAACCCTCAATAAAAAATATTAAAAAAAAAAGTATTTCTATCTAAAATTCGCTCAATGACGAAAGTTTATAATAAAAGATATTAAGTAATAATAGTAGTAGGTATTCCTACAATAAAAAAAAATAGGGAAAAAAACTATTATAGTTACTAGATATTCAATTGAGTTTCCTGCCAGTTCTCAATCTCAAATCTATATACTGAACTGGACGGTAGAGAGAAAAAAAAAATAGAAAATTTCACGTTCATAAGGGGCTAAAATGTCCTACGTGAAATGATTTTAGAATTTGAATTTAGAATTCACTGGATTTTGCCTCGTTTAAACACGTTCCGTTACACGCAAATAAGTGTGTTGTAAGCTTATTGAATTCACCATATTAGTATACATACACTGGGCCGAGCCATTCTCGTTCAACAAGTTTGTACTTACAATATAATAACTTTGCATCAGATATTTTCACTTTTAAAAATAAAAGTCACTTTAAGACGATACAAAAATACCACATCCTCATTTTCGTACATTTTTATTTTTCACAATATAATATTTTTGTCTTTATAATTTTATACTTCCAATATGTGTACTAGATTATAAATTGGAAAGTGAAAGGTACACTTAGAACTAAGGCCTATTAAATAAACAATAACCTAATAATAACAAAGTACGATGCACGCAAAACATTATTACAATAGATGGCCTGTATAGTCTAAGAGCCCGTCACCATTTGGGTAATGGTCTTTCTATAACGCTACAAATTATAATAGTAATAACTACATTTGTATAATATCCCGTCCAATTCAAACGGTGATCGAAATTACAACCTGAGCTGAGGATCGATACCTTAGCGGTGCCCTCAGACTAAAGTCGTAACCATCAGACGGGAGTTGGCCTTCAGCCGCCCCATAAGTCCTTCCTTTGGTTTGGAGTGCCATCTGCACTCTCCCCTATCGTCCGGTGAAGCTGTAAAGGCCAGCAGCGGCCAACAGTTTTAGATTAATTCGAAAAAAAAAAATTTTAGGGTCACAAAAGGGTCACTAAGTACGATTACAACAAACAAAAAGGGGAAAGTATATATATGCTGGGTATATAGTACTAGTGTATATATAATAAAATCTCAGGATAACTTATACATGATAGAAATATGTACATAGACAACACCCAGACTGACACAAACAATCTTACTCATGGATATAAATGTTAGTACATCGAGGAATCGAACCCTCGTCCATCGGAAGTAAAGCGGTGTGTTAAACCGCTAGACCACCGAGGCCGTCAAATCGTACTAAAATGACAAGCTTTCAGTGACAAGTTTTTCTTTAAATTTTGAATATAAAAAATATGTACCAATGACCTGCAGGTTTGATGCCTGCCAGGTGATAATAATCGTACTTAGCATGCTATAATTAATTATTAAAATAATTTATACCCTTACAGTGAGAACGTTATCCCAAATGCTCTCAAGCTCTTGGATTAAATTCTGTAATTCGGCCACACATATAAAGAAACATAATAAACTTACTAGAAATACAAAAAGTAAATTACAAACTACGTCCCACCGTGTCAACATTAACGACAATAAGGCTGAATTTCCATCTTTTCTTATAAACACCATTGGCCACTTCGTACAAAACCTACCTACTTTCCTACCCTTGGTCGACCTAGCTACCTCCCTGTCCTTTCAGTACCTTCTCGATATGAGTGATAAGGATAAAAAACAGGGCTCCGATCATACCCTGTAGAAACTATACGAGTAAAAAGTAAATAGCAAAATTTAATAAAAATAAATGGCAACATTTTAGACAAAGCAGATTACCGAACCTAAAATCGTTACGAAAGAGTACAGTAAACAGGTAAACTTATATACTGACTACATTTCAATCTATTTACAGACTTAACTACAGACAAATAAGGTATAGTATTAAGCATCTAGCACCATTTAGATATAAAGTATACTTCAACATAAAATTATCAACCAAAAATAATATAAAATCAGTGAAAAACAATATAATATAACAAACAGCTCCAAGAACTTTACGCGAAATAAGATACTCTATGCAAATGTCCACCCTAACGAGAGGGCAACACTGGATAATTTTGAATAAAGTAACGGACTAGTTGAGACAGTATTGCAATTCGAAGATAATAGACATTTATATCAAGACAACTAGGTATACATAAAAATCTAGGAGATATAATAATATACATTGGGATACGACTACCTATAATACACTGAGATTACAGCGCTATACGTATAAAAAATAAATCACATATCACCGATCTCTTGACCGCACATAGTCTATCGTCCGTAACTCGTAACCAGCCATCGTACACAAACTCGGCCCGTGCAAATCGAGAAACCCAACATTCCAAGCTGTATACCACTAAAATAACGTAACAAGGGTAACTTTATCGTACGGAAATAGTCGCCTCTAAGGACGGGTAAGTGAAAAATTGCCACAAATTGAGCCTCAAAAATCTACATTGTACTTTAAAGACCTGTATAGATGAATCTCGAAGCTACGCTGAATATTCCAGAAGTTTAAAATACACAAATCGCAAAGGAATCTACTGAAACACACTCTAACATCGAGATATTAAAATCGTGTACTCAACTTAACTACGTTACTGATAAATTCATGAAACATTTCATTTTGACGAACACCATGGCCGTTTGGTTTGGACTGTAAAAGAAAATTGTCATCATTTTAGCAGCGATTGTACCAGGACATCATAACAGTTAGGGAGTTTTGCTGGCGAAAGGTATATCGGGTTCGAGGCGTAGAGTTTGCGGCGTGGGGTCGTAGTGTCCGGCCAGGTAGTACACGTCGTTGTTGTCATAAACAGTGCTGTATTTGACCGGGTCGTCGCCCATGCGCTCCTTGTACTGCGCGAGCGGCAACACTTCGCATTTATGTGAGATTGTTTGGACGTCATTCTCATCAGTATGTGGGGATTCAAACAGGCCTCCCTGGAAAAAACAAGTTGAAGAATTATTTTAATTTTTTTTAATATTACAAAAATTCACAATCCTTAATAATAAAATAGAAATAGAAATAATCTTTATTCAAATAAACTCATTACAAGCACTTTTGAATAGTCATATTTTGATTCTACCACTCATTCGGAATGCAGATTCATCACAAGAATGAGCAAGAAACTCGTGTGTTGCTCTTTTTAATAGATGTTTTTTTTATATAAATAATTACAGTGTAACAAGTAAGAGGCATGCGATAATCAACATAGAAATCGCTACGCACTCATTATTAGTGTAATCAGATAATATTGTCAGTGCTATGTATTTAAAAATTTTCAAAACAAAAACATTATCGTTAACGAATTCTTCAATTTTATAGTAAGCTTTTTTGCAAAGGAACTGTTTTATTTGACATTTAAATCTTTTTTCTGGCAGATTTATAACAGACTCTGGTATTTTATTGTAAAACCTTACGCAATTGCCATAAAACGAATTACTAACTTTAGCCAAACGACATTTAGGTAAAATCAGTTTGTTATTGTTACGTAAGCTTTTATTAGTGCAATCACTAACTCTTTTGAAACTGTCTATATTCTAAATTGTGAAGTAAACACAACCTAAAGGGCATGCCCTTTAGGTTGTGTTTACTTTTAGCCTAGTTTTTTTTCTGAAAAGTCGAAATATTACTTTGACCTAATCAATTATGACCAAGATGTGATATATGTGCAGAACCGTTTCAGAGAGACAGATTGTATGTTATTTGCTTACCTACAGTTTTACCTATTACAGCCGCCTAGCTGATTTAGTAAGCGTTTCGATTTAAAGATATGTCAGTAAAATTACAGTATTGTACAAGGTCATGATAGCTTAGTACTTCGAAATGGCAAAATATGATAGGTACCACGGGCGTTACGTGATAAGGTGATGTCCATAGCTGTTCTTGTATAGGCGGCGGTTGCCAGTTACCATCAGGTGGAACGTAAGCTGTTTGCAACTTCCAGTTAATTATTTTTATACTACGATAGTGGCAAACAAGCATACGGCCCATCTGATGGTAAACTGTTCCCGTAGCCTGGATGCCAGAAACACAACGCGACAACGGTGTCACGTGCGGGCTGCCGACTTTTAAGAAACCCTAATATTTCTAAAAACCCTATGCTGTTGTCTCCCAAGAAAACCTTGGCAGGTAGTTCATTCCACAATCTAAGTGTCACAGGAGAAACCGTACAGTCTGAGACCACTGAGCTCTTAGCGTGTGGGGATGAATTTCCTGTCGATGGCGAGAGATGCGATGGTAAAAGATTAATTAAAGATATAAAATGTCAATGTTAGACAATAATTAGATACTAACCGGATAATGCAACGGTTCAGGACAGCCGATGGTCTCCTCAGGGTGGTAGAACCACTTGACTCGTACGGCCATAGCGCCACGTGCCTCCCATAACGCTACTATCCGCCCAATATATGGTCGGTCCGGCCGACCAGTCGACAAAAATACTGCTGCATCTCCCACCTGCAAATTAAGAATTATGTACGGTTAAAACTCATGTATGTACAATATTACATTATATTTTGCATTAATTCCTATACAGATATAATTTTAAATTATTTTTTACTTGTTTTGTGCAAATAAGTATAATGACAGTAACTATACTCTTTCTGGTATTTATAAAATGCCATGAAAAAGGTGGATGGATTGTGTTAAAGATGATATGAGTAAAAAAAGAGTATGCTCAGATTTGAAGGCCGATAGAGATCAGTGGAAGAGAATGACATACTGTGCCGACCCCGATTAATGGGATAGGAAAGGCAATGATGATGAATTGATGAACTAAGACATCATAAAAACAAGAGACTTACATGTAGAGTCTCCTCTCCGCGTTGTATCGCGCGGTAAAACAGCTTGCGGTGGCGAGGCCGCGCCGTGCGGCGGTACGCGGCGCCCAGCCAGCGCCAGAGAGCCCCGCCGGGCAGGAAGGCCGCCATCTTGCTGACTCCACCACCACCGCCCGCGCCGCCATCCGATGACGTTGATGACACGGTGCGACGCTTTGTTTTCTATAAAGAAAATACAATTTGTAACTTAATTTCTTTAATATATTTATGTAGAACAAGTGGATGGATGGGAAGGGAGAGGACGCCCTAAAAAGATTGATTGTGTGAAAAGGAGAGTATGCTCAGATATGACAGCCGATAGAGATCACATACTGTGCCGACCACAAATAATGGGATAAAGGCAAGGCAATGATGATAATGGCAAAATTAAAACTTCAAAAAATAAAATTAAGCACAAAATGGGGTCTTATCACTAAGGACATATTGGTATTAGACTAAAATAAAAAAAAATACATAGTGTAAAAAAGTTACATGTCTCTTTTTGGGTGTACTACTTTTTGTTATTTTAATAACCATTTCGAAGACTGATACTAAGAGCAAATTTATAAAAGGCTATAAAAATATAAACCATGTTATAAAAAAATTTAGAAATTTCATGAAATTTTCAAACTCAACCACGAATAAAATACCCAAAAACTGCTATACAGGAACCAGAGGCATCAGTACATTAAATAAATTTATGTATCTACAAAATACATTACACGAAATATTTAAAAAAATATTGATTTATTACCTTCTTCCCATCAAAGTTTGATGTCGATGGAGTTTCTTCCTCCAAACCTATCCCACTGTCTTTCAGATTATCTTTAGATTCGCCGTCTTTCTTTAATGCAATATTTCCCAAATTGCTGAAATCTAAAATTGCATTCTTTACCAATGCTTTCTTGGACAGCACTGCCTTTTTAATAACAGTCTTCATTTTATCATTCGGAGATTTCTCAACAGCTATCAACGTCGATAATCTATCGTTGGAATCAACGGAATCTTCATTTGATTTGTTTGAGTCTATGTAATCAGATGACGATTTATGCCTTTGATGATCATCACCTGATGAACTCGACTGCTCCTTGCAGCTTGAATGATGTCTCTTCCTGTGTTTTCTGTGATGTTTCTTATGATGTCTTCGATGTTTGCAGTGTTCTTCGCAACATTTGTGTTTCTTCTTTCTTTTCTTAATATAATCTGAATTCGGATCTTCTTCGCTGGAATGACGTTTCAATTTCTCTTTGCGGTGTTTCTTTAACTTCTTTCGATCTCTATGTCTGTCTTCACTCTCTTTTTCTTTCTGTGCCGCATCAGTTGTGGATGGCTTTGTTTCAGTACTAGTAGAAGCGCCTGCTTTTTTATCTTCTGTACTGACACTGGTATTTCGTCTTCGTTTTCCAAGAGTAAATAGAGGATTTTCATATTCTGTAATCATAAACAATAAGTATATTTTAATTTATATTAAGTCAAAACCTGAAAGAAATTGTTATCACCAAAATTAACTGAAAAAAAAACCCATAACAATAAATAATACATATTATTTCATGAAAAATGTCAAGCATATAGACAATAAGAAATGGAAAAGATACAACTACCGGGGTAAGTGAAAAGAAACGATCTATACGGTACCTGTACCTGGTGATAATATAATATATGTAATACTTACCGACTACTGGGTAATTGGGCTCCAAAAATCTTATATCTTCAATGGCTATTCTACCAGAGTCGCCATCATCAAATTCTACAGCCACAAATTTATCATCGTGTGGATCTGGAGATGACACGGCTACAGTGCCAGGGTACAGACAACGATACTGCTGCGACCAGTATGCACACACTCTTGTACCAGACGGTAATTCTGACACTGATACTGGATTAACTTCCAAAATCTGAAATTACAAGAACATAAATACATACAATATATTTTATTTTTAAAATACCCTCAAAAACCTGCACGTAATATTTGAAGCTGTCCCACTCATATGTAATAAATAATTTTAATATAATTTTAACTACAAAGAAGAGTCTTGTTCCGCATAATTGTAATAGACAATGCACAATTATCGTAAGTAAAGCCATTGCATTCAAATCAATTTAAAATCGCTATAATCTGATCAAAACTATTTTGTTTTATATTAATGATTCTAAATTAAGTATACTTACAGCATCCCTTAAAGTCTCTTCTCTAGATAATATATGAGGTTTGTTGCCTCGCTCTCCATCTAAAGTAATAGCGTATACATCTGGAGCCTGCACTGCGCTCAGCTTTCCAGCATAGAATAAGCCTCCCATGGCTGTTAGTACCCGAGGTGAAGAGTCCAGTTTGTCTTCTGTCAAAGTACACTTCGAGATTGTTTGTTGAGCTGGTTGTGGTGTGGGCTCTTTTACTGCGTCATTAGTCCGATCTTTGGGCTTTACACTCTTTCGCCTCTTCTTTGCACGACGCCTTTCCTTATCACTTTCACTTGATCCACTCGCCCTCCGAATAGAAAATTCAAGTTCAGGTAAATCATCTCTCGAATGTTTCCGCACTAACCGATCTACTTTTTCTCGGTTCTTTTGGCGCACCTCATTTAAACTCTCCATAGAAGAACTAGCAGATCTATTAAGGCCCCATTCGGTTTCTTCCTCCTCTGAATGCATTTTCAAAATTGGTTCTGCTTTCAATTTCGGACGCACCTTACTGGTACGATTAGTGCTTTCTTCTCGTGATGGTTCTCCTCTCGAACACAATATACCGCCTTTAAGTTTGCCTTTAGCTAACAAATAGCCAACGAGACTGCTCTTTGATTTCGGTTTCTTGGCCACAATGGTTTCAGTAGAATCTGGACTGGAAACTTTACGCGGTCTCCCAACTTTACGCTTTTTTGAAGAACCTCTATCTGAATCTGGAGATAGCGCAGGAGTAGACGGCGTAGAAGGTGTTGATAGTGCAGGTAATGGCGGAGTTAAAGCTTTTAACTGGGCTCTCGTCTCATCATATTTACGCTGCAAGTCTTGGATCCGTTCCCGCATATCTTTTTCCATTGCATTGACAAGAGCATGAGCCGAAGGGATATTTGATGTATGCATACAGTTCAGTGCTCCACAAGAACATGCAGTAACTCGCCGCAAACTGGCTTCCAACACACCACCGCTACTCCTCGCATCATCTTGTTCTTTTTCACGTTTGTGGCGCCGAATTTTTTCCAATTTATGTCTAAATCTCTCTTCTCTATCGCGGCTTCTTTTTCTTCTTCTTTCACTTGAAGAGTCGCCATCCTTTTGCCTGTGTCTTTCTTTTTTAGACGATTCAGCTGACATTTCTCTATCAGTGGGACTGAGCAAAGGTTCGCTTTTAATAAACGACTGGGAAGACATAGGCAAAGATGTTGGAGGCTTTTCCACTACTTCCTCCATAAATCTCTGTTCCGCTAATGCACATAATAAACCCAATCCATCAAGAGAAGGTTTGGCTCTCTCACTAGTACTTGGTTCAACTGTTGGGAAGTCAAATCTTCTACTGGATTCAGCTTCTGCAGTACGAGGTGGAGATTTTGGTGAAGACTTTATCATTATGTTTAGCTTTGAAGTACTCCTCGTGTCAACTGTTAAAGGCATTGCTGTATCCAAAATCGGCATACTGTTACCAGGTGTAGTTCTTTCAAATTGTTCTATGCTATTTGAAAGAAGTTCCAGTCCACTAACGTCTACCAATGGTCGCGTTGTTTGCGGTTGTGGTATTGCATGGGACATTGGCGATGTACTTGCAGTATCGATCACTAAATCATGAGACCCACCGCTACTGGAGTTATCTGCAAGTGCTTCATCTCTTTCTATTGCATCTATAGCTTTTTCTACAGCACCAACCATAGCCGAAGTTGCAAGACCTTCTGAAGACGATTCTTCAGCACTATCAATAGGTGGAGCCTGCAATAATGCTGTCGTACTTTGTACCATAGTAGATTCCTCTGGAAAATGAGCAACACCAACACACGCGACATCTCTTTCATCCTCGTCTGCGTGATTTGGTGAGTCATCTTCGTCGTCAATATGATCTGTTTGGTTAGAGGCATCTTTATGGGCTGGCGCCTCGGGAACTTCTGGCGGTGGAGTTGGTGGTGCAGCCGGAGATGTTGCCTGACTTCTGCATGCTTGTTCCGAGTAATCCGGTTGATAATATAGATGTGTTGTTGTAAGAATCGGTTGTTGCACTGGTTCTGGGGCAAATTGGGGTTGCGGTTTCTCCTGTGGCGGTTCTGGTTCTATTTTTATTAGGGCGTGAGGAGTTAGAAGAGGTTGAATTATTTTTCTTTTATCAGCTGTATGAGTCGGATGTGGTTGAGGGGCAGGCGCGGGTGCTAGAGTTACTAATCTGGTTGAATGCGTATGGGTGTGCTGCAAGGTTGCGGTTGAGGCGAGGAGGTCGCCGGGCAACAGTTGCAGATGAGAGGGGTGCGGTGCTGGGGGTAAGAGGAGTGGGGCGGACGGGTAGGGAACACCGCCCCAGACTACGGTGTGAGGTAGATCCGGCGGAGCTGGTAGCAGAAGCAAAGTGCCGGTGGTGGGCTCGCGGACCAGCTGATAGCCGCCGACAGACGAGACCCCACCGCCGACAGGGCCCACGCCGCCGACTCCCATGCCACCCACCATCATGCTCTCCATGGACATTTGAGCTGGAATATGAAATACATGTTATATTACTAATCGCGTTCTTTTTTGACTATTGAAATTTATTCTTTGTCAAATTCATTTTTTTTATATAGATACTGTTTAAGATACTGTTTCAAATGCAATCAAGTGTAACACCAAGAAAAGGATAAGTTTTGTAAACGGTTCCTATATTGCAAATAATCGTAAGATACAAAATAAGAAAACGCAAAAGTTTTCAAACACACTCAACGGCTGTTAAATACGGACGTATATCGTACGACGTTTTTCAACACACTTGCGATGAAACAGAATAAAAATCATGATATTATACTTTGTTCATGTTCTGTTGCTTTCCCGCTGTTTTACTTAACTTTTTTAAATCAGCGCACTGCCTAATATCTATTATAATTAAGATGAGAAAATAGCAAATAGTGCTGTTATGGAATATAACTTCACTATTTGCGTAGAACGGACGCGTGTGCTATGCAGCTTTGTGTATCCGGTGAAATTTGATCTCGTTTATGAGCAAGTGTGTTGAAAAAATATTAATAATCATTATGGGGCATAGTTACCTATATACCTCAAGGTAATACAATTATGGTCAGTAAGACATACTAAATATTCTACTATCCTATACTATCAACTGATAACTACACGAACGAATTCGCGGGCACATCTAGTCTGTAATATACATCGTCTAAACTGACAATATAGTATTGTTACCCTGCAACGATCATCATTATTCGATGGAAGACTCGATCTGATCGTAATCATGATCATGAGAGAACTTCAGTCATCAATGACCACTAATTCCATGAATAAACATTACTAGGACAGCATAAATAATAAGTGTTAGATAGCTAAGCACACCATCAGTATGCTACGCTTGCATATCCGGTGGTTTGTCGGAATGTTAAGTTGTGTTGTGACTAAAATTTAAATTCTATTGTATTCTGTGATACGTTCCAACTGGTTTAAATTTCTTTGACGCTACGTCGTTGTGTGGTCTACCTCCTGATATTTATGTATCCTTAATTAAATGCGGACATTAATGTTTCACAATTAATTAATTAATTAAATTCTTCTGTACGTGTGGTTGTGACCTAACTCCTCCTAAACAGCTAGGCTGATTTCGATGAAATTTTTGTGTATATTTCAATTTTTTAATGAATTTTTAATGGTTTAAAAACACAATTGGATCCGGAAGGTGGCGCTGCCTTTCCGTGTAGGACTATATCTGCCGCGTCTGTTAGTAACTACCTATATACTAAGTAGCAAGAAAAGAAAGAAAGAAATATCTATCTAATACAGAAGAAAGTCTGTAAAATTACGACTGAAAATATATACGATGGTAGATGGTAAATCTATGCTAAGCATTAAACATCTTACATTAACAGGCCTCTTCACTGAATCTATATATATATAAATGAATTGCTGTTCGTTAGTGTCGCTAAAACTCGAGAACGGCTGAACCGATTTGGCTAATTTTAGTCTTAGTCTTGATATATTCGTGGAAGTCCAGGGAAGGTTTAAACGGTGATAAAATATGAAGAAACTGCATGGAGAATAGTAAAATTCAATTTAATTTCCCATATAAACTGTCAAACACGGTGCGTTCAGAAATTTATTGCGTAACTAAACTTCAAAATTCCTTTATTACTGAGGTGTAACGGAGTTCGCAGGGTCAGCTAGTATTTAAATAATTATCTACGATTATTATAACACTCGTGTCTACACAAAGAAAGAACATTTAAAAGACCAATTACACACAGAGTACGCACGAAATCTACCGAAACGCCCCAAAAGTTATCAGTCCGTAAATAAACATACTGTATACAACAATTTACTTACGTACATGGAAACTCGATAATTATTCCCCACTAAATTGACTTAATGATTCTAATCGACATACATATTGATTACTTCCGATATTCGATTCACGTCTCTATTGTGAAAAAGAAATAGAGATGCACGCGTCATATGCGTGTGATAAGGACAGAATGCGTAATTATTTCTATAAAATTATAATAGTGAGGTACATTGATCGATAAAATTTTATTGTGACGAGAATACAAATTATTATTATTGATTAATAAAAAAATGTTTTAATAAAAAACATTGTTAAGTTTCAAAATGTTTTGAAACAATGTTTTATAATGTTAGTGTTATCTACCTAGGTTACTTCTGAATACTGCGACACGCAATTCTCAAGAATGATCATGTATTAGGAGTAGCACATGCGTCACAATGGACCTATTTTAGTAAGGTGCACGGTGTGTGTCTGTAGATGCGGTTACTGTTTACCATTTAAATTGATCGTTTGTATGTAAGTTCAATATATAGTTTTAAAAAAGTAAATAAAAAATAGTAATTAATATTGTTTAAAGTATTATATTTGATCAGAAAGTATGCACAAAGGGTTTTAAATGACTAACTGTATGTGATCCCTCTGGCTTGATATACCCTTTCCGTTACACCCTGTATAATAACTATGAGGTAGTGCGTTTGGCCTACCCATCTAGTTAACAACATGTCTAACCTATATTCTATTATACTATTACTCTGTAGAAAATGCGAATATTTCCAATGACCCACCTATAATTCTATTGTCTGGGGCATAATCATGGTTCTAAAGTAATATAACTCAGTTAAAATAGGTCGTTGTGCTACTCGTGTACAGACCTGTGTTTGTCCTAAAACTCCGAAATGAGATTAATAAAAACTAATTAGGTAGGACGTACATGCCTATGTATAAGTATAGAGTATGTAACTATTTAAGGTAAATATAAAAAAGAATAAGTATACAGTTAGCCAGATGCAGCATCCCACCTGTGAATTATCCGATCTGACAGTTGCCTAAGATCGATCTAACAATTATGTAGATACTAAATTACAATCACAAGGGGAACACCATCGCGTGAGAGTACATTGCAAAATCCTAACGGCCGCATTTCGAAATCGCCATTATACCATAACGCAAACAAGAAAAAAACGTAAACACAAAAAACTCATTCCCAACACTAAAAGTATTCGAGGCGGTGAAGATAAAAGCCGGCCTGCGAAGGCGCGCCGTCTTCTGATTGGTTGATACGACAGTGGGCGGGTGGAAAGGGGCGGGGCATGAAAGATTAGAGCTGACGGTACATCAACTTCGGGTTATCGATAAGTTTTTACGATAGATTTATTTTTTGCACTTTTTGCTGATTTAAAGTGAAGTGACAGTTGCTGCGCGGAGTATGTGTTAATAATATTTGAAGGTGTGTTCAAGGAAATATTCTTATGGTTATAAGATATTTTTTGACTATGGCTATTCTAGATTTACCTACTGCTATGGTAATAATGATCTATTTTGAGTTAAACTTACATTAAACAATCTCAAAAACTAGAAAATGACACTTTCTTTTAGCAAAACGGACTATTTTTCACGTCTTTCGGTAAAAACTTGAAAACGAATCGGAATGAAATACCATCGTAAAAAACTTAAACGAATCAAGTCTATATTTTATACTACCATGTTGGCAAACAAGCATACGGCCTATCTGATGGTAAATAGTTACCGTAGCCTATGGACGAGGGGTGACACGTTCGAGTTGCAGTATCAATAAATTAAATGTTAAATACAATAATTGAATATAACCATATACCTAACGATACATAGGTACTTACAAAAATAACCGTAACCGATTCAAAACAAATAAATCAAAACCTCTTTATGTATGTTGGTCTGTTAGAGACACTTATGATAAGTAAAATCTACCGAAATTTCTGAAAATAGTTCGCTTCATGAAAAACTGACACGAACTTCGTTGTCTTGATGTTTGTAATATATATTCGAATTCAGAACATCAGTTTAATCGTATTTACTGAGCAGAATTTACACTAAACGATTACCAACTTGAATGACAACAATGCATGGGAATAATAATAATAATAATCATTTATTCAGCATAAAAAAGAGTACAGAGTAAAACATGGTTGTTCGTGCACAGGATATTCACTTAATGTTAGACATAAACATCTACATAAGTTCTAGGTACTTATGTAGGTAAACTTGCTTTAAAAAAACAAATTCAGTTAAGTTTCTTGCCAGTTCTTCTCAACTGAATGTGTCTACTGAACTGGACAGTACGGCAACAAAAAAAATTACGTTCATATCCAGCTAAAGCTACAATGTCCTACAGGAATAAATGATTTGTGATTTGATTTCATTCAAATTCAAATTCTAAATCATTACTTCATGTAAGTAGGACATTTTAGCCGTTTATGAACGTCAAATTTCTACATTACAATTTTATTTTTTTCCCAATCCAATCCAATCCTATTATACAACTACTCGCCCTGGCTTCGCGCGGGTGTATATGTATTATATATATAAAGCTACCTCTTGAATCACTCTACCAGTTAAAAAAAACTGCCTCAAAATCCGTTACGTAGTTTTAAAGATTTAAGCATACATAGGGACGGCCATACAGCGACAGCGACTTTGTTTTATATTAATGATTTCATAAATACTTTAATAAGCATTAAATTAAAACTGCGACAGTATCTTAATATTTATAATTAAAAATGACGTGTCACGTTGTTTGTCCGCGATGGACTCCTAAACTACTGAACCGATTGCAAAATTGATTTGCACATTGTGTGCGATTTGCTCCAACTTGAAAGATAGGATAGCTTACATCTCAATTTATAGTCGCAATATTATTTTATTCAAGAATCTTAGCCACAGCAACATGTGGCTGGATCTGCTAGTAATTTCATATAATACTAACTACCCGACACGGCTTCGTGCGGGTGTACAAATATTACAGGTACACAGGTAGGTATAAACCTTCCTTTCGAGTCCCTCAATTGGTAAACATTAAAATCAGTTGCGTAGTTTAAGAGATCTAAGCGAACAGACAGCAGAAGCGACGACATTTTATAATATGTTAAGATCAAAAGTAAAGTTCTGAAATTATACATCAAGATAATAAAACAAAATAAATAACATAACACTGTGATAATCAACACTGCATCGAAA